GGCAACTGTGGGGCCTGTTCACAGTACCTTCAGCCAGGGCCGCCGTGCAGGTTGGTAGCTGGGAAGCCCAGACTCAGCTTGCGCGGCACGGGCTTCTATCGGACTCTCTCGGTCGCACACTCCGGCCGGGTGTACCAAGCGAGGGCGGGTGCCGCTCAAGCTCAAGTCGGGGCGGCCCAGCTACCTGCATAGGCCGCCCCGCCCTGACTGCAGGTACCCTATACCGGCCGGCACGCTAGATAACCCCGAATCGGCCGTTAATCCCTCAACCTGTCGAGATTCTGGACCCACGGGTCCCTATGCTAGGCGATGCTAGGAGACCCTCGTGCCGCCACCGTCTATCCCTCTACCGAGTACGAGCTGAGCTATACATCCACACTTACATTAAAAGTATGCAACTGTCATCTACTTACAAGTGTACAATATGATATTTCACACTTTTAACCTATCTGGCTAGATATTTGAATACTTCGAAGTAGTGTATCTGCTATAGTTCCACTCTCTGCCCAGGTCGTGCTCAGCGCAGGAACATACCTTTCGCCTCAGCTACTGATGGTGTCGGGAGTTGGACCAGCAAAGGTTTTAACTAAAGCTGGCATTCCTGTGGTCGCTGATTTGCCCGTTGGAAGCAATCTCCAGGTATGTCTAATACGTGCAGTACCTAACTACCTTGTTATAAGCATTTCCTACTTAAGGGGTCAGACCTGTAAAAATCGTCTAATGCGGTTTCGGGTGCGGGGGATTGTTTATTCAACAAAATCTACGAAGAAAATGCTGCGCGAGAAAAAACAATAAAAAAGAAAATGAAAACTTGTTGCAAGGGTGGAAACAGTTTAGTTAAATATGAAATCGCTGTTCGGCATGAACTCGTCACTGATTCTGACGACTAATATTAACTCTGCAGGACCATCTTGTGATCAACACTATGCCAACATTGAAGCTGACAAAGACTGCGGTTGTGCCGTCTGTCGATGATGTCTACAGAGATATTGAAGATTTCAGAAAGGTAATGCCAATACCAAACGTCCCAAGATCAGACAGTGTCTACCTTTTGAAAGGTTGCGAATTCGCACGCACGATTTGCGTTTCAGAAATATTCATATATTGTCAAAAGAAAATTGATTGGATGTTTGTCCATTCCAAGACCTTGCACTTTTTGACTTACCCGACTTTCTTTGATAACATATTTACCCCCTTCAGGATGATTGTCAGGATTTGCATCAGGGGTTTCGGTGTCTAGAAGTGACTCAGAAAACACCCTTAAAATTGCAGGTCTCTATCTGAAGTCCTTCTTGTGGAATAGACGCACAGATATAGAAATTCAGAGTTTATTGAGGATCCTCAAAAAGGACTGCGTGGAGTCCTTCTACGGGAAAACCCTCTCTCTAGCAGGCGTAATAGTTTATAATTACCTACAATTAATGCTGAATACTAAATTAACAACTTCAGATTGCTTACAGAATACAAAAAAAAATATCGACACTGTAACAAAAATAGTTCATGTTTAATACATAAAACACGACAGTGTAACCAAAATAGATCGAAAGTCTCCTGATGGTTTGCGCTGAGGAAATTATTTAGTTGTCAAACAGACATCATGTCGTTTTCAGCTCCCACGTGATAGCGTTTTCAAAGCAGAAGGGCTGGCTAAAAATGAACATAGCATTTGTACTCCACGTGGTTCACTCGGAACTATGAGGCCACCGCATATAGGACCGCGCAGAGCACCCAGAAAAAACAGTTTTTGTTACAAGTTCTTCTGCGTTTTTTCTAAGCCCTAGTAGCACCGAACTGTCGTACGACTGTCGGACAACACGACGCATTCGTGCAACAAAGTCGGATCAAAAAGCAGTCGCTGAACAATGACGGATCAGAAAGCAGTCGCTGAACAACGACGAATTAGAGAACGGTCGCTGAACAACGACGGATCTGCTTTTTGCTGATCTCTGCATACTTGACTTTGGAGGCCTCTCACTCATCGCTGAGAGGTTGTATCGTTTTCAGTGAAACAACATTTTAATTGTCATCGGCTCGTGAATAAAAAGAGACAACACCCAATATCTAAGGAGAGTGAGAGGCCTCCGAAGTCAAGTATGCAGAGATCAGCAAAAAGCAGATCCGTCGTTGTTTAGCGACTCTGTTCTGATCCGCCGTTGTTCAGCGACCGCTTTCTGATCCGCCTTTGTTGCACGGATGCGTAGAACAGTCGAAAAAAGATACGAAATCTCGGTGCGATGTACGTAATGAGAAAAAGAATTCTATCGGTGTACTATCTTTCTTCCTCGCAACAAAAATCTTCATTGGCCAGCTATCGTAATGCAAGCGAAAATCCACTGTTGTGGATTTGATCGGGAATCGATAAAATACAACAGAATGGTAGGTGGTTTAAGTTGATAGACCAGCGACAATCGTCTGACTATGGACAAGCCATTACTTTTGGATTTTCGTTATTGTCACAATAGTTAGACGATAGATAAAAATCACACCATGTGCGAAAGTTTTGTGTTACTAGGGAGAGCAAACTGTTCTTGACTACGAGCCCGGTGCAGGTTAAGCGCAAGTTTATGGGCTTGTTAGGATGCTTCATCGGAGCTTGATAACATTCTTTTGCCTCTTCGAGGCTACAACTTTGTTCTTGTTTCTGTTATTGTTCGGCTAGTGCTTAAGGAAAGGATTTAGCGCTTGCAGTTGTCAGGAACACAATGGCATTGAGCCAAGACAAACAAGAACAGGACTATAGAGAAGGGACCCAGCAATAGGCCATTCCATTTTTGGGTTCCAACTCGGCGATTTCCGATGTCAGTGCTTTAAATGATAGATTTGACCTCGTAATGAAGGTAGGTACAAACAAGGACGCTTTCCGTTCTTCCACCACCAGACACATACCGAGAAAGATAATGGTGAACTAGTTAAAAGCAAGGATCGTAATCTGATGGTACCCATCACAAGAGAATCTATGCCATACTATAACAAACTTCTAATGGTGGTATAATGTTACTTTTTAATCATAATTCGTAGCACCATCCACATTTTAATAATATATCTTATTCGCCGCATTAATGTAGTGGCAGCGACTCAGGTAGCCCTTGTTATCTGTGTACCTACTCATGTATTTATTATTTCCTGCGCACTCAAGCAAGTACGCAGTAAAAAATGAATACATGGCCAAGTACGCAGTAAACACTAAATGCCTTCATATACGCAGTATTTACTGCATACATGTACTGTGTAAGCTTGGGCTTCCAGAGCGGACACGAGAGCGTTTGCATTAGCCCGCTTTAATGTTTTTAGCCAGCTCCTTTGCTTAAAAGCTATATAAGCGGGCTTATGCCATCGCCCCTGTGTCTGTCTGTCTGTCCGTTAGTAGTAGAGTGGGCCAATTCTGACGGACAGCCATCTTGGGTCCCCTGCCCAGTCTGACGGTTTGCGAAAATTGGCCAGGGGGACCCCCCTGAGCGGAAAAAAGGGTGTCTTATGCGTGTCTAACCCAAACCTAACTTTTTGAAGGGTATCTTTTTGACGCCTAACCCAAACCTAATTTTTTCAAAAGGGTATCTTTTTGACGTCCAACCTAACCTGATTTTTGAAAGGGTATATTTTTGGCGCCTAACTCAAACCTTATTTTAAATCAAATACGTGTTTGGACTTGTCTTTTTTGTGTGTAAAATAAACCTTTTTTTTTTTGTTTTGAAAGGCTGTCTTTTGTGTTGGTAACCAAGAGACTAAGGGGACAGGAATCTCTCTACCCCACCGCTGCCGCATTGTCGCACGCTGAGACATCTAGCCCCCTCAATATATATCGCATATCGCTTTGGTCTAGAATTGTAGGGGAGAGTCTACCGATGGCCGTGGTACCAAAAGTTGCGTCAAAAGTCTAGCCAGATTTGAACGGCGAGCGCTGAAGTCCGCAGAGCGCCCCGGAAGCCGGACGCCGCTCCGATCAGCCAAAGCCTCCTAGCACGGCAGACGGGGTTCCGCTACGCCACGCCACCTCAGCGCGGGTCTAGACTGGTCTAGACCAGACCTATACAGTGCTTAGACACATTCTCAGATCATGTTTATGAACTGCGGAAATGCGCGCTGCTTTTATTGGACACATTGGACCCTTCATTGGACCCATTGGGCCCTTTATTGGACCTATTGGACCTTCAATTAGACCACACCTTTCGAGCTCTTTTTAGCCCGCCCTTCTGCTTTGAAAAAGCTATCCAGCGGGCTTATGCAAACGACCTCGTGTCTGTCTGTCTGTGTGTCTGTGTGTCTGTGTGTCTGTCTGTCTGTCTGTTCCACTAGAAGGAGATGTGCTAGAGACTTCAAATTTTCAGGGTATCTTAAGGTTCACTCCTAGAAAACGAAACGCCTACGGCAAATCCTGGCAACCAACCCTAAGGGGTTGTAAGGGGGTATCAAAGAAAAGGGGGAGGTTTAAAAAAGTCAGAAAAAAATATTTTTTTTATGAGCTCCTAAGGGGTAACTCGTCAAAGTAGAGCCCTTTGGGCGAAAATTTCGTCCGTTTTGCTCTATCTCTCACCGTTTAGGCACGAAAGTGGCCCAAAAATAAACAAATTAATTTTAGAAAATATGAGATGGTCTCCTAAGGGGTAACTTGCAAAAGTAGAGCCCTTTGGGCGAAAATTTGGTCCGTTTTGCTCTATCTTTTACCGTTTGGGCGCTAGGGGGAGTTTCTCTCACAAAAGTGGCCCAATTTTTTTTAAATTAATTTCCGAAAATATTGAATGGTCTCCTAAGGGGTAACTTGTCAAAGTAGAGTCCTTTAGCCGAAAATGTCGTCCGTTTGGCTCTATCTCTAACCGTTTAGGAGCTAGAGGGTCTTCTTTGACAAAAATAAGTCAAAAATTGCTGTAGTGAACAATTAAATGTAAAAGAAGGCCCAGAACCGCAAAAGAGGTAAGAAACTCCCTCCCCCCAGCCTAAAAAACGTTTTCTAAGCAGAAGGGTGGGTTGTAGTCGCGGTGTTTCACCGTTACCTCCCTTTCTCGTGTCTACGGGGCAAATTTTAAGGACGACGGGCTTTGCGGGCCGAAGGCCCGTTACATCATTTGATTATATTCTACAGCAAATCGCGTGACAGAAATGGTCGGGCCGCAGGCCCGACCATCGCCGCCGGCAGGCCAAGCAGGCCCGGCCCCTGCCGAACGGAGTTGCCGGCGCAGCGAAGCGAAGCTGGCAACTTCGTTTGGCGGAAGGGCGGGCCTGCTTGTTTGAAATGGCATTACCACGATTTTTCAAAAAAATTCGTTTTAAGCCGTGATACCAAACCGACCTGGTTGCGACTTCCACAGCAAATGGCAGACCGTTTTCCTCCGTTTTTCACGTAGATTAAGATTAATAAGAAACTTTTGGTCTTTAGCAACTTTTATGGGCCACAGAGGGATTTGCTGATTTTACGTTAAAACACCCATAAGAATCCCATGTTAAACTTCTTCGCGGTTGAGCGACCTCTAAATATTTACCCATTTCAAAAATTCTAGTACCATTCGATTCTTACGAAGTCAGTTCAAAGTATAAGGGGTGGCCGGTTAAAATTTTTGTCGCTCACCTTTTGTGGGACACCCTAGCCACCGGTGGTGCTCCGCGGATACAAATACAATGCTGCCGGAGCGGAAAGATCATTACTCTGCTTCGGCACACACAGTTCACATCGACACATCTTGGCCTTCGTGCCAAAAACGTCTGTACTTCAAAATGAAGTTTAAGATGGGCGCTCAAAATGCAGCCTTCCAAACATTGAGATTTAGTCACACACACACAAGGGGCAAGTCCGAACGCGTATTCGCGTTAGGTGGGGGTTTGTCGCTCTTCATAAACGTCCCTAGAAGAATGAGGTTTGAGAAAAAAAGACAAGTCCTAACACGTCGTTGCTATTTAAGATATGGTTTAAGTTAATTGCCAAAAATTATACCCTTTCAAAAAATTAGGTTAGGTTAAACGTCAAAAAGATACCCTCCCAAAAAATTGGTTGGGTTAGGCGTCTAAAAGATAACCAATTAATAAAAAGGAAGTTTGAGTAAGGCGCCAAAAATATACCCTTTCAAAAAATTAGTTTAGGTTAGACGTCAAAAAGATACCCCTTTGAAAAAATTAGATTTGGGTTACGTGTCAAAAAGATATCCTTTAGAAAATATTAGGTTTGGGTTAGACACCCATAAGACACTCTTTTTTCCACTCAGGTGGGTCCCCCTGGCCAATTTTTGCAAACCGTCAGAATGGGCACCTAAGATGGCTGCCCGTCAGAATGGGCCCCCTTTACTATCCGTTTCCCAAAAAGGACGGGAGCTAGAGGTCTGAAATTTTCAGGGTATAATTGTAGTCACTTCTGGACAACGAAACGGTTGGTTCAAATCCTGACAACAATTCCTGAGTGGGTCTGAGCGGGTAACAAAGAAATAGGGGTTGGTCCAATAAGTAGGACAGAAATATTTTTTTATGGGCTTCAAAGAGGTAACTTGTGAAAGTAGAGCCATTTGGGCGAAAATTTCGTCCGTTTGGCTCTCTCACCGTTGAGACGCTAGAGGGAGTTTTTCCCACAAAAGTGGCCCAAAAATAAATATATTATTTTCAGAAAATACTTGATGGTCTTCAAAAGGGTAAATCGTGAAAGAAAAGCCCTCTGGGCTAGAAAGTCGTCCGTTGGGCTTTCACTGTTTACTTACAAAAGGGAATTTTTCTTATCGAAATGACAAAAACGGAAACAGTTTTATTTTTTTAAGGAGTACACTTTTGTCTGAGAAATATGCCGTCGGTTCAAACTTTTCTTCTAAGCAGAAGAGTGGGCTTATTTTATGGTGGCACATCATTAATAAAATGTGTAACTCCCATGCAAAAAACAAAAACAAAAAACCAAGCATTTACTTCGTTGTTTTTTTATACTTTACTAGCTGCTTCCTTTCTATCAGCAATTATAGCGAAATCATTGCGGACACGTTCGGAGGTATTTCAGAGTATGCCTGGAAGTGTATTTAACTTCTTCTGGGTCCAGTCTCATTTATCTTTTCATAGGTGTGTTATTGGATCCATAAGCTAACATCAATAACTTAGAAGGTATTTCGCATAACTTGCATGTATTCTATAACCTGCGGCACACACAGCCCAAAGATGTTCAGCGTATGGAAAGAATGCTTCGCTTGTTGAGTTTTGATTACGAAGTAGACAGCAAAGGTACCTGGCAAAAAGATGATTGAAAGAGAGCCGTTACTCGAACGGGCCGAAGGCCCGTTCTTCTATGGACGCCAGATTACACCATGAAAAATCAAACGCCGCCGGCAGGCCAAGCAAGGCCCGCTCCGTGCCGAACCGAGTTGCCGGTGGAGCGAAGTGGAGCTGGCAACTTGGTTTGGCGGAAGAGCGGGCCTAGCTTGTTTTGAAAGCAGAAGGGCGGGAAAAAACCATGACAATCGTTTTTCTGTTGCTGCTAGGCTAACGGCTCACGTGGCCCGGGACCAATTGGCACGTTGGGTTCAAACTCGGTCGTAGTGCGGATGCGCAGCCCCCTCCAACCACAGCACGACCGCAGGCCTTACATCTACATCCAGCACCCGCCTGGAGGTTGGCTTGACAGAGTGGAGCGCATGCCGTACTGCGCGAACGGAACCACGTCGCCGAACGCAACAGCAAGCTACTATGACTCGGTATGGATGGGCAATAAGACTACTTGATTAGGCAGCCTCAACGAATGTGTGTACACCTGTTTCCTTTAGTAATGCTCCGCTCAAAAGCGGCCCGCTCGGAGCTTAGAATCTTGAGAATGCTCTTGCTTACGGATAGTGTTTTACAACCTGGCAAGCTAGCGGGGACCCGGCTGACGAAGCACTCACAACCAGCTAGTGGCCGAGCCCGCGCCAATACAATAAGCTCTCAATGTGCGGCTTACTTTTAGGGCGTCCCTTGGAAGCTGAAGACCAGTCCTGAACGGCCAGATTTGAGAGGAGCATTGCTGTACTTGACAGGCGGATATACACGGATGGGACATTTTTCTTTCTTCACACCATAACCGGATAAGTGTTTATGGCAAGGGCAGAGTCCAGCAGCAATCGAAATGGCTTCGCTTGGCCTACAAAGCGGTAGCAATGAACACCAACACATGTCAGTGTTCGATACTTTTTCTAATATCAATACTGGCGTGTTTCCCCTGCGAGGGGGCCACCACTCTCTCTTTGGATGTACACATGATTGCAAAAATTGCGTGATTTCACATGATTTCACGGATTTCGCATATTATTTTAGAAGATTTCACGCTAAAACCTGCCGGCAGATTATGTCAGATTTGAAGGATTACAGATGATTTCAGCGGATTTAACCGGATTTCGGCGGATTTCACAAGATTCCGGCGGATTTTCCGTGATTCCGGCGGTTTTTACAAGACCTTCGGAGGATTTCAGACTAAAATTTGCTGGCAGATTACGCATGATTTCATGATTGCAGGTGGATTTCAAATGATTTCGGGAGGATTTCAGGGAGGGCGTACACATGATTTCAGGAGTGGCGGCCCCCTCGTTCCCCTGTCATACCCGTAGAATACAGGCGAGAAGTGTGTGCCAATCACAAATACTCAGAACGTGATAGGAGTATAGACCAAATGGGTTGTGAAGTGGAAGAGAATGATAAGTGACTTATCCCCCAAATTGAGTTACGTACGTCACCATGTGGTGCACTGCTGTCTGCATCTCGACCCTGGAAACCTAGACTAACACATCTCGTCAGCGAGGCAAATAAAACGACGCTCCTCAAATTCGTATGAACTGCTTTCACGGTCCGTTACGAGTTTTTACAAGAACACGTTTTTTTACAACAATTAAAATAGTGTTCTCAAATTGAACAAGAACAAATCAAAATCAAGAACATGCTTTTCTGGGTGTCGTATGGAGCCCGGGCCACGGCTACATTTTATTTATAGGGTGATTATTTTATTTGAGACCCAAACCTCGACAACTTAACAATATTAAAATGGCCTTGCCGGGCTAGCCCGGATAGTGGTAGATTCTAGTCCTTATCATCAAAGTAGACTCAATTTTGTCTCATTTCAGGCATTGGTTTGGGGCACAGTGGTTCGGGCTCACATAGTGCGGGCCTCAAGTCTAGCATCCCATACACCTAACGTATAGCAGACTAAAACTGCTGTGCTCTTTTTTATCCTTCTTTACTTCTCTTTACACTGAACGTTGCACGTTATTCCAAAACATTTTTTCTATTTAATAACAGATCTTCCCGTACGTCGTTCTCTTGCACCCAAAGGACAGCGGTGTGGTTACCATCAACACAACAAATCCAGGAGGACCACCTATTATCAGACAGAGAGTTTTCCAGAACAGTGAGGTGAGTAGTTCAGCACAAAGCCATGCTTATATCGCGCCGTATATATAAAGACGGCGGGGCGAAATATAACATTTTCGATTAAAACACTGCATTCAAATTTTGGTAAATTGCACGTCATAGTATCCCGAGGCAAAGTAATAGTCTGAATGTTGTCTGGAACCTTGTCGATGGTGACGGTTAATTCGTAGATAAGAGGCAGTTAAACGGCAGCTCATAGGCAGTCTATCGGAAGCCAAACCGTAGTCAAACGGCAGACAATTCTCTCTGTCAAACGGCTGACAAACGGCAGACAAACTACAGCCAAACCGCAGTCCATCCTCAGCCCAGTTCGACTGAGGATTGACTGCCGTTTGTCTGAGGATTGACTCACGCTCTCAGATAATCTTCAGTCCTCTGTACTAGAGGAAAATGAAAACAATCGACTCGGGCGGGCAGCCGTCAGCCCGTCCCGGTACCGAACCCCGACCCCGGGGGACCCCGACCTCCGTAGCGTACGTGTATTCCATTCGGGGTATATTTTCATTAAAACTGCGTTCGAAAGACATTGGCGTCCTAACACCTGAAAATGCAACAACCTTACGACACTGCACCACACCTTGCCAAAGTCACAGCTCCACACACCGAGAAAATGGTTCCAGTGAACTAATGGTAATTCCCCTATTCCAACGCCAAATTCCGTTCATGTCACATGATAGAAGTTTTTCGTTAGTCTGAAGGAGCTTTCCTTGTTTTAAAGAATGATTCTTTACCCTTTGGCCATTTTCCCCTTGAAGCATTGGAAAATCAGTTGAATCAACAGAAAAATTCCAGTATATCATCAGAACAAACATAAAATCAACGGAACCGTTCTCTGGGTGCACGTTGGGGCTGCCAGTGTGCCCCCCCCCCCCCACTTCTACCCGCGCCTACACAGGCTCTGTATATCTAAAGTGGGGATCGCCAGTGCACAGCAAAGTGTCGTTGCAATAAACTTTTTCTGCGTTCTTGCTTTTAAACATTTTCAGTTAGTTGTGCATAACGTTTCGAAATTTTTACAGGATATTCGGGCTTATGCCGCCGGCCTGAAGAAAGCTATGGACATATTTACTTCATCAAAGACCCTACAAGAGTCAGGCGTTACTCCGATTGTTAATGGTGGTAAATCGTGCGGACACATTCCTAAAGGACGTCAGGCATGGTAAGTCCGCAACGGCAACGTAACATATTGAAACTGACAAGAGGCTCTGAGATACTCTGCTTTAAACCATTCCAAATCGCGAGGCGTTTAATAGTAGCGTGAAGTGTTCTCATTGCAGGGAAATAAAAGAGTTAGCTCTCTCACAGCTTGTATGTTCGCTAGAATGCACCCAGCAAATATTTTAACGATGGCATTTGATGCTCGTTTGTAACGAGAGCCGAAAGCACATTAGTTGGGACGAATTGCACATTACGTCCCAGTCCAAAAATCCCATGGACACCATGGAATTCCATGATCTCTTTTCCATGGATAGAGGTCTGTTTTCCATGTAAGATGCATCATATACCATGTGGTGTCTGTTTCCATGGGCGTTCTACCATGGAAAGGTGTTTTCCATGGAACAAGATTTCATGGAATATCGCTTTCCATGTGAGGACTCCAAGGAAAAGTTCTCACCATGGGTAAAGGCTTCATGGAAAGATGCTTACCATGCGAGAGGACTTCATGGAACGGTTGTCTTTCCATGGGGTGACCTATCCCATTGGGCACTTGCCTATCTTTACAATGGAAACAATTTCCCATGAAAATGAAAAGTGCTGTCGAATCTATAATTATTGGAATTTCGATCTGAAATTTGGCATGAAGCATCTACAATGAATTTTAGTAGGGCCGTTTAAATTTCATTCAAATCTGAGAACTTTTTTCTGGCAACTCGAAAACGGCTGGAGCTAGGCAAAAACGGACACCAGATTTAGCTCCGCCTCGATTCCGACACCCTACATACATGCTTCATTTCTTTCGATTAGACTTCCATTTGTCTTTTTTGTGGACTTTAACATTTTGGTATTACTCCATGGAGTTAGTGCTCTATTCCATGGAGACGGTCAACTGCCAAGGAAACTTATTTCCATGGAAACTACCTCACATGGAAGTGGGCAAAAATACATGGAAAGTTATGTTCCATTGAGAAATGTCTCCCATGACATTCCTTGATGTCCCATGGCTCATGGGAACGATCATGGGATTTCTGGACTGGGGTGGGACAACTACTGCAGCACTCAAGTATAACATTGGAAAGGGATGTTTGAGTACAATCAGGAACACTCTATGTATTGGCGCTCGAGTCTGGTTTTCCTCAAAATTAAATAAATATGCGCCGCCGCTAACCTTTAAATGCACTTTGAAGCCGTCACAGTAACTTACGTTTACGGCTAGTCCTGACATTGATCGCCTTGGCTGGGGTATTTTTGCTCGCCATTCTGCTTTGAAAAAACAATTATGTTTACAGGAGAAAAAAACCGTCAGTAATGAATGAAACATACTGAATTTATCTCCTTTGTGCAAATCTTTGTTCGGCGTGCCCTTACGAAAGAGTTCGATCTGCTTTGCTGCTAAACCAAAAGAGTTCGATTTGCTTGCGGCGCTCGTCGCCCGCTCCTCATAAACTCTATGATATCTCGAAGCTTGTGAGAAAAAGGGTATATATTTTAGGATGTACAAATTCGTAAAGGACAGGCTAACAGGCTAGTCTTTTATTTTGAGCATATTTAAAATATGCGAGGAGTTATAGCCTTCCAAAGATGCCTGACTTTACATCGCCGATAAAAAGATCGAACTCTTTTCGTTCGTCAGCAAATCCGATCGAACTCTTTTGGTTCAGCAGCAAAGCAGATCGGACTCTTTCGTTAGGGCTCATCGTGTTATTAAACGTTCAAGAACACGAAATCACTTTCTCATCTTGCACTGCAGGTACGAGTGCCTCGTCCGCACCGAGGGTGGAGCCACGTGGGGTCACGGCGTGGGCACGTGCAGCATTGGCTCCGTGGTGGACTCCAGACTGCGCGTCCGGGGCGGGGTGCGCAACTTGCGCGTTGCCGATGCCTCCGTAATGCCGTGTGTCCCGGGCGGCGGTACCAACGGCCCCAGCATGATGATTGGCGAGCGGGCGGCACACTTCATCAAACTCGACCACGGTGTGGCTTCGTAGCTCTTGCAAATCACTACAGTATGGACTCGAAGGAAGAAATAAATCTCTGATTAAGTTTGCAGTTATTCATTATTTTTTCACAAACAAGAGTCAAAACAAGACCGTTTCCTGTATTACTAATGTAGTTCAAGGATTCTGACAGCTGAATTTTTGGCATTGTTATTTCTTTTACATGACCGGCTTAGCCTGTTGAGGTAGGTACTGAAATCTCTGAATCTTATAAAGTGGACTTATAAATGGGCGCGAGCTACATAGCACTGTAGTGTAATGACTGAATATAAATATTGAGGACCAAATAACCATGAAATTTGTCTGAGTCCTGTTCACGGTCTAGTCGAGAGTCAGCACGGTAAAAACAGTGCCTCATTTTTTGAGGAGAAGAGAAAACTTTGAGGAACTTCCCTGGTTTGACGAAAACTCCTCAGATTTTGAGGAAGTCTCAAAAAATATGGGATTTGTCCTCATTTTTTTAAGGGATTCCCCGAAATCTGCGGCGAGATTAGTTGGACTCTTCCTCACACATGCAAGTTCTTCAAAGTTTTCTGTTTTTCCTCAAAATATGAGACATTGTTTTCATCGTGCAGTTCCACAACACCATCACTCGCCATCTAGCGGCAGACCCCTCACCTATGTCGCCAGCCATAACGTTCTTCTTTATGTTCTGCCTTCCAATGCCCTATTAATGCAGGCACCAGCTCTGACTCAGCGCTACACTGTGATCAGCGCTTGATGTGAATCAGTCGCTCTTAAATGACTCTGGCCCTTCTTTCCAAATACCCCCCCCCCTACCCATTACACTAGTGGCAGCGGTAGAGGATTGTGAAGATAGACGACGATAGGGGCGCGGTTTACCACTCTAAGAAGCGAACGAGCAGAATGTTGGTTGCGAAACCTAACCTCAACCTGAATTCGGTGGTCCTTCCCTTGTGTCTGGCGTCTGCCGACTTACGCTGGCAGCGCCGGCTAGCTCAAAAGTCGGGTAAGTTTCAGACAGAAAAGTCGTCTGAAAATTGGCTGAATCGCGTCTACTCAGGCGTGCAAGCAACTAGGAAGCTCGGACAGTTTTCAGACGCGGTTTAGCCTCGCCTTTCCATGCGGGGCGCGCCCTCCTCGCAGAGATCGACTTTGAGTGCGCAACTCAACACTGACAGTAGTTTGGGTTGCCTACCCACAGGCGCCTGCTGAGAGTGCAAAGGGTTGCCTACCTCGGCGGGGCTTCGTACGCCATGCTTTGGAGGGAGCTCCCTGATGACACACCCCGGAACGTCCGGGCGTCATCGGCAATATCTGATTCGTGCTCAGCGCACCGAAAAACCCGTCAGTACTAAATTTGGGTCGGCTCGGCCACTGGGTGCAAGTTAGACGGGAAGAGCAGTTTTAGGGCGCTAACTGAAAAACACGTCTGTGAAGATGCGCCCCTAGCAGCAAAACAAAGAAAATGCCTACTTTTTTTATTGCAGATTCGGAAAGAGCATGAAATTTTGGTCTAGAAACCACTCGGCCTACACCTGTATCGGTTGCACATCACCTCGCAAAAAAATCTCCAAAACATCAAAAATCGGTCATTTTAGTGTTTTTTCAGCTTTTTCGAGTTTTCATCCTGCTGTAGCTCCTAAACTATAAGGATATATACCACTTGCCCTTGCAAAAATCGAAAGTACTAGTCGAGAGCTATCCGGCGATGGTCCCAAAAGTAGAGAAAAATTGTGGGAACATTGTCGTTATAGCTGTGCAAAACGCGAAAAATTAAGCTCAAAAATTGCGGATTTCCCTTTAGAACGGGCAGAAGGAGCGGACCTAGGTAAAATCCAAGTACAGATTTGAGTTCCTCCCATCAAACTACCCCTATAAGAACCAGAGATAGGTTCGCAACAGCCCTGGGAACGCTGCAAAAAAATAAAAACCGAAAATTTGCCCCAAACCCCTAAAAAAGTGTACGAAAATCTTCAATCGGCTATATCTTCGGAACCGTTTGAGCTAGAGCGCCGGAAAAAAATGTTTTGGGCTCCTCTCAACGAGCACTTTCAACACTGAACAGGAGAAAAATGCGGTTGAGGTCAAAAAAAAAGTGGAAAATCTATGCTGGAACGCCCCTACGATGAAATCTGAAAGTTGACCCTCACTTCCGCATTTTTCTAGAATTGCCCCTCACTAACCTGACGTTCCAGGGCCGCCGCCTTGGCCAGTGCTTCGTCGGCCCGCTGGTGACAGAACTCGAGCGATTTGGCAAATGTATCCTCGACATCACGCAAGAGCTTTTTCTGCTCTTCGCTGCTCTCCCTGATGGGGCGCATAACGTCGGTGAGAGTTGGCTTCTGGTCGCTACTCCCGCGCGGCCCCGCCTCGGCGGCGTCCGCCGGCGGGACAGGGGGGCGGTGGAGCGGCAAACTGGGCCGCAGTGCCACTCTTTTTCAGTATTCAGGTTCACACATCCATTATAAGCTTTCTTGGCCGTACACGCACACGATGTGGCTTGCGCGTTCTTCACGGCCCGCTCGCACTTGTGGCAGGAGGACGACGACATATTTCGGCTCGATGTAAACACACAGTCACAAACACGGGGCGGGGGCCCAAGTCGGCCAGGGGTCTAATCACGGCAGGGCACACAGCACGGGCATAACACAGTACAGCACAACACTTGAAATCTTGTAGCTAGGTCATAACTAAATCACAGCGGCTTGGTTTTCACACATGTCACCGACGCGCATCGTCTGCTAGGCGGCAGCCGGCAGGCGGGTGGTGGAACGTGAGCAAATAGTTGGTGACAGCTACGCGTCTTCCGTCTTCAGTCTTGACCAAGAAGGTTCCTTCTACGAGTTTTAGTTGTTGGCTGAGCGATTAGCGAAGCCCATTACTCCACTGACCGGAAAAGTTTCATTCTGTTTGTTTGTATGTTTGTTTGTTTGTCTGTCTGTCCGCACGATAACTCGAGCAAGAATTGGGAGAGCGATCTAGGAATTTCAGGGTCGTTTTGTATCATAAAAGACAGATCGAGTTCGAAGATGAGAATTCTAGCCCAAAAATTGGCTTTTTGAAAAATCAAAAACTACAGGTCGCAAAATGTATTTTTATCAAATATTTTTTGGCTGAGCGATTATTGGCTGAGCGATTAGCGAAGCCCATTACTCCACTGACCGGAAAAGTTTCATTCTGTTTGTTTGTCTGTATGTCTGTCCGCACGATAACTCGAGAAGGAATTGAGATAGCGACCTGGGATTTTCAGGGTCGTTTTGTATCATAAAAAGACAGATCGAGATCGAAGATGAGCATTCTAGCTCAAAAATTGGCTTTTCAAAAAATCAAAAACTACAGGTCGCGGACAGACATACAAACAGACAGACAAACAAACAAACAAACAGAATGAAACTTTTTTGGTCAGTGGAGTTATGGGCTTCGCTAATCGCTCAGCCAAAAAAAGGTCGTGTTTGGGACCTGTTGTTTCTGATTTTTTTTAAATCCAATTTTTGACCTAGAATGCTCATTTTCGAACTAGACCTGCCTTTTTGTGGTACAATACGACCCTGAAAATCCCAGGTCGCTAGCTTAATGCTTTCTCTAATTGTCGTGCGCACAGACACACAGATACATAGACGGACAGGAAAAGTTTTCCCCGACCAGACGGAGGGAATGAACCGTAGTCTATTGTCATAGGTGATTTGTAAAAATTGGCCTTCACGTGCGCCAAACTCACTTTCGGTCAAGGCAATTCGAACAACGAGCAGAAAATGAAGAATTGTGTTTCAACATCCAGGGGGTATGTTCTACTAGCTATATGTACGCCAGACCACGTCTCGCGTAACAGGCTTCGCGATATCTCACGAAACACTGTTACGCTGCGACGCGCCTGGCGCACATATAGCTAGGCCTGCGGCGCTGACACATGAGACGAGCAAATGGGAGGGTACAGGGGAATAGGGCCTTCCGGGCCCAAAATTTGACATACTGGAACCATTTGTCGAGGTCTTTTTACTCTAAAATTAGGGACATGAAACTTCTGCTGTTCTGTAACGATTTTCATTAAAAGTTCGAACTTTTACAGATTGTTATGTAAAAACCAACGTTTGAGAGATACTAGATAATCTAGGGACCCTTAAGCCCAAAAGAGGGTATGGTTCAACCTGTAGTTTAGGTATGACTCCCTATACAATTCTGTGACATGAAGCCTTGTTTACGATTTAATAGAACATTTTAGCTTTTTCACGTTGTTTTCGCCAACAAATGCCCCATACCACCGAAACGGTACAAGATAGAGCAAAACGGACGAAATTTTTACCCAAAGGGCTCTATTTTGACGAGTTACCCCCTAGGAACCCATAAAAAAATATTTGATAATAAACATTTTGCGACCTGTAGTTTTTGATTTTTTTAAAAGCCAATTTTTGAGCTAGAATGCTCATCTTCGAACTCGATCTCTCTTTTTATGGTACAAAACGACCCTAAAATTCCCAGATCGCTATCTCAATTCATTCTCGAGTTATCGTGCGGACAGACAGACAAACACACAAACAGAATGAAACTTTTCGGGTCAGTGGAGTAATGGGCTTCGCTAATCGCTCAGCCAATCAGTGCGAAAAGTTTTCCCCCTGGACTGCGAATAACGAGTTGGCCAAGTAGCCTCGCACAGGCCCCTGTTTTCCGATCCCTACTGGCAAGATTGAGCCAGGATGGCGACTCCGTCCGCCTCAGGTTTTCAGCATTTAATTTTAACTAGGTAGATGTACGCTAGACCACGTCTCGCGTAACAGGCTTCGCGATATCTCACGAAACACTGTTACGCTGCGACGCTCCTGGCATACATCTACCTTGGCCTGCGGCGCTTACACCCGAGTCAGGTAGTGCAAAAATGTGCACAAAGATACGGGCCTCCGGCCCGTCAACGCCCGTCACTTCAACTCATCATGCAGGGTTGTACATTTTTCGCTTATTTTCGTCAAAAACACCCTCTAGCGTCTCAACGGTTTAAGCTAGAGCAAAACGGACAAAATTTTCGTTCACAAGGCTCCACTTTCATGAGTTACCCCTTAGGATACTATAAAAAAAATATTTTTAAAAAACGTCATTTTTTCGACACTTGAAACCTAT